GAAAAAACAATCACAGGTTTCTCATTGACTGTAATCTTCATCTGAATAAAATTAATTATAAATTTACAATATCCTGGTATTCTATTGAACTTTTTGTTTATTGCATTATGCTTCAGTTTGGTCTGTTAAGTAATTCATTATAAATAAAAAAAAAACTATTTTACTTTTATTCAAGTTTTATAAATCCATCAACATTTTCAATTGGCATTTAATTTGTAAAACTCCACTATAAAAATAATCCATGTAAAATTGTAAATGTACTGTATATGTACTAATATGGAAAAAATAAAGGATTTTCAGTATTATATGCATATTATTTGGAATGCACTTTTTGAGGCAGACAATCTTGGAAAGGAGGGGGGGAATGACATTCTGACATATGGTGAAAGGGGTGCATGGGGCAAACAAGGTTGAGAACCACTGCGATATATGATACAAGAATATTAAAATATGTATCACATTTTTGTGGCAAAATAGACATGCTTAAATGAAAAATATTTGTTGTTCATAACTTTCACTGCAGTCTTTACAGTCTAAAAAGTTTCTTATACGTACATGGCAATGGATAAAAATATCACAGAACCTACTGGTATGTGGAAAAAATGATAACACTATCAAAATCTTCTTGAACACTTCATAAGGATTAATAAGTGGCATCAACATAGATAAACTAGGCATTTTTATACAACTATAAAGAAATATAATTTATTGTTTTACAAAACAAGATTTCCTCCCACCTTTCCTGAAAAATAATTATATACCTACCAGGTACCAGTAGGAACTTAAATGCCAAGTGGAAGGGCCCATATACAGTAATAGACATCACACATGATGGTGCAGCGTATGAATTAACCAACCCTTCACACGAGACGGAGGTGATTAAACGGGCAGCAGAGAAAGTGAAAAGATTTGTAAGTAGGGACATGTTTGCTCAAGTGAATGATGTCCAGGTTCCACCTCGTGATTCTTCCTTGGAATCAGAACTTGATGAAAGAATGTGTGTAGCTGTGTAGTGGATATCTCCCCTACAACTGCCATTTGTCGTTGACTAGCCGACCCTCTTCGAATTCCCCAGCTTACGCCTCATGGTCTAGGTCGGCAACCAGCGCCGCCTAACAAGGTGGAGGTCAACTATCAACCCACGCTATATAAGACCTCACCCTGCCGTGACCTCCCTCTTTCTTCTAGCTCAGCCACAGCAAGCAATACCCCCTCTTTTACCTGCAGCCACCAGCAAGCAACACCTCCTCTGCACCTGCCTGGTGGCTCTCGCTCTAGCCGGCGACTTTGGCGCCCCACAAGCTGCGTGTCCTCCTCTAAGCACCCTCACCAACCAGCTCTCTCTACTCCACGCTTGCACCCACGCTGCCACCCTCCAGCACCAAGCTGCATTGTACATCCAATACAATATGTATACAGAGAGCACATTGTGAGTTTCCTTTCTCCAACCCATCCTGAGTGTGAACCAATATCTCAAAACCCCATAGCTGCTCCTGCTACTGGATTTCCCGTGAGGACGAGGATACCAGTTGTTCGAACGGATCTTTAAAAATTTGTATGCTTTTAAACTATAATTTCTTGGTTGCTGTTGTGCCATTGTGAGGTGTGGTATTTTGTTGTGCATTTGTGTTTTGGTAATTTGGAGTTGTGAATTGTTGGAAAATGAGTGTGCTGTCTTGCACCTGTGAGTTGTTGAGTAATGGGCTGTGAGTGTGTTGTTTGCCCTTGTGAGATGTGAAGGAATATTATGAGGAGGGATTGTCAGAATGCAGCAAGGACATAGTGATTGGAAGGTGGATGGGCACAAGGTTGCGACCATCTGATGGGGATCTGTTACCATGTATGATTTCTCAGGTTTTTGTGTGCAAGTCCTAGCTAGGCTCGTTGTTGGATAGATGTAGGTGTTCGTGACTTTTCAGTTGGACTGTTCATGGAGACGTGGTGCCAATATTGCTTAAATGGCTAAATGCCAAAGGGACAGAAAGTCTGTGGCTTGATTTGGTTCCCATAAGGACCGTTTAGTTTTGTATTTTATTCCTGGTAATCCCCATTTGCTACGTCTCGTGAGTGTGACATTACTCTTTTGTAATAAAGTCAAGCAAGTCATTCCACCAGCTGGATGGGATACAGTCATCTACGGTATATCCTAGCTTAAGAACTCTACGGTGAATCTCGTAAAGTCCAGTAAGCATTTGATCAATCGCCTAAGTGAAATTTTCCTTATGTCAATGAGAATTTAACTGTGTCTGTATTCTGTACTAAAATGATTATACAGTACAATACTTTGTTGTGTTTCATACCTACAAATTTCATAACGTGTATACCTGTATTCTGTAATATCAGGATTTTCTTGTACTATTGTAATGAAATAATTTTATTTTATGTTTGTAATCCAATTTATTATTTGTACTGTATGTGCAATTATTTCACATGTATGTATGTATCCTTGTACTGTACTTGTCATTGTGTTTCAGATTCTATTACAGTACCAGGGGCAGATCTAGGAATATCAAAAGGGGGGGTCCAAGAAGTTGTGGGTGGGGGGACATGGCAAGTGCAGCGAGCCCACCCAGCTGGGGGGGAGGGGGGGGGTGCTGTAAGCCGCCCCCCATAATTTTTTAAAATCTGACCAATATCATAGGCATTTTGATGTAATTTTGAAGCCATGTGCACTTGATAGTAGGAGATATTCTGAACTCAATAGTAAATACTTTTTACCATTCAAAAATGCCTGAGTACAATACCCTGTACTGCATTAAAGAAAAAGTATGAATTTTCTGGTGAAAAGGGAGGTCTGGACCCCCAGGACCCCCCTGGATCTGCCCTTGAGTACTTATGTGTATGCTAGTGGATTTACCATTTCTTTATGACTAAATTGTGTTCAGTGTGCCTGTAACAAGTGATACTTTATTTTTATTCATCTGACAAGTGAATTTCTTATGTACAGAATTGGGTATGTGAAAATTTTGTTGACATGTTACTGAGTGTAAGCACACTACCATGAACCAGTAAGCAAGAGTAACAGTTATTTAGAGTCTGTGTTCGTACTGGTAACTGTTTTATTGACGCTACCGCATAATATAAATCTTTAGGAAGGGGGGGGGAGCTGTGTCATGGTCACAGTTGTACTGATATTATATTAACACACACACACACACACTTATTCATATTATGCTCCGTCGTCCATAAAACATGTGTGAATCTAGTGAGTTACCCCCGAGAGACTTGTTTTCTCTTAGTGAGAGGTACCGTCCACTTTCTATATTCCTGAAATCTTTACCTGTATCATAAATTTAAAATTGTGATGTAACCTGTATGAGCTGCAGTAATTGATGTATACCTACCGTGAGCTGCAGCATTCAAGATGTCTTAAGCATACTGTACAGGTAACCCCCCCAAGATATTATATCACGAGATGCGATATTTCACTTTAATAATGGTTAGAAATCACACCATCTCCTTATACAGTATATGATTAAAACCACTCGCTTTAACGATATCCATCAAATAGCCATCGATATACATTGGTTGGAAAGTGAGCTGGGAGTTAAACATCTGGTAAAATAAGCTGGGAGAGTTAAACATCGGGTGAAATAAGCTGGGAGTTAATCTTTATGAGATCCAAAACTTCTTGTGAAAACTATTAATACCAAGAATGGGGTTTATAAGCTTTATAATTAATGAAAGGTTACTGATTTGTAGTGGGATGAAAGTGAGGAAAATAGAAGACCTTTGGACCCTCAACATAAGATGAAAAACTTGAAAACTAAGAGATACAAATGTACTGTAAGACCATAATCATGTGAAAGAAATTTCACAAAAGCATGTGAAAGAAATTTCACAAAAGCATGTAAAAAATTTCAGCATATTCCTTTTATAAATCTAATAAGTTAGGATTCACCAAGATACTACTGACAATGTAAAAGTTAACTACTGTACTGTATAGTCAAACCATCAATTACTTTTACCCCCTGGGTGTAATGGAATTCAAAATGAATGCTACCTCACCTGTTGTCTGAATAAGAATGAATATAATGAAATCAGTACCAACTGAGCAAATTCCACTTTTAAATGTTAGCAAAAATGGGAAATCTGTCAAAAGGTGGATTTATTGTGAAAATCACCAAGAGTAACATTTGTTTTTGTAATAAGTTTTGTTATGCATGCGAACACTAACAGTCAATGACATAAATTCCTGTCATGACCTTGCCACTCACTATGGAGACTTCCAAAATAACCACAGCAGCTGTTATCACTCTCCACAGTCTTACCCTCAACAATTGTTTGATGGGTAGGTGGGTCTATAAGCCCATGATAGTTGTGTGGGTCAGGCGCTATCACGGTGGGTCTAAGCCTTTAATAGTCGAGTGGATCAGGTGCTATCAAGACACTGAAGAAAAGCTAACATGACGACGGCTGGAGGAGTTTATACCAAATATTAGTTAAATATTATTGATGTTCAATTATTGCCTTCCCATCCAATAAATAATTGAAGGTCTAAGAAAACTATTTATAAATTATATCTTTTTGTTTATTTTTCATTTTTTATTGGACCAAAAATAGGTCTTCAATAACTGCCTAACAACCAAAGATGCACATTATTCTCGTCAGCTCCCTGAAATGTCATTGATTATTTTCAGTTCATGCCACTATAATCACACTAATTTTTAATGCTTATATATTTAGACTTTCACCAAGTATCTTATATTTGTTGTTTAATAATGTGACCGACAGTCAAAATGAGAAAACAATCACAAGCACTAAAATACAATTCCTCAAATTAATAATTCAACCAGTTCACAATTCAATTCAATTCTCAGGATATGCTATCACTTGTTTACCTAAGATAGATATTCTTAAATTTACAGTAAACTAAACCATTTTAGTTCAACACTAAAGGAGAAAAGTAATTTATGGTCTGACTGTACGGCACATAAAGGTATAAGATCTAAAGTGGAATTACCAGAATGAAACCCAGACGGTGTCCAAAGTTGCTGCCCACTGTATATTGTGAAGGTAAAAATTTGGGTTCTCAGTATATATCAAATATTTATTTATATAAACATACAGAAGCTTGCATTACACACAAAATGTTAATAAGGCTTCAGAACTCTTCCTCAACAATATCCAATTCCTTTATAAAGCTCTCTATTTTTATAGGAGATGGAGGATCCATCTCAAATTCAAGAGGATCTTCTAAAATACTTAATATAGAAGGTTGACCATCAACAGTTTCCTCTTTCACTCCCTCCCCTGAGCAGTCAATGAAATGTGTCGATCTGCTCACTACAGGGTTATTATCTGCTAGTTTACACGCCGCCTTTGTTTGGCATTGGTAAGAGTGTCTATACTCATCTTTAGCATGACAGGAAGTGAGCAGTTCCTGACAATTAATGTGGCTCAGCTCGGGACACTTCAGGTCATTATCATGTTTTTCTGTTGTGTGGCTTCCGAGATCACCAAGGTCTATCTGAGCGAGTCTTGTCCTGCTCCCTGACTTCTCCGCACTGCATATTTTCGACCTTTGTTTATTGTCATATTTTTTGTGATGTTTAACCTCTTTACTGCAAGAAGTCATATGAGCTCTACTATGATATAGTTTCTTCCTTGTGTGAACCCTCATATGTTGTACTAAATAATCTCTCCGAGTAAATGAACGATTACATTCTGAACACTGGAACTTCTCTCCTGTGTGAACTCTCATATGTTGTACTAAATAATCTCTCCGAGTATATGAACTATTACATTCTGAACACTGGAACGTCTCTCCTGTGTGAACTCTCATATGTTGTACTAAATAATCTCTCCGAGTATATGAACTATTACATTCTGAACACTGGAACATCTCCCCTGTGTGAGTCCTCATATGTTGTACTAATTCAGATTTCCGAGTATATGAACTATTACATTCTGAACACTGGAACATCTCCCCTGTATGAGTCCTCATATGTTGTACTAATTCAGATTTCCAATTATATGAACTGTTACATTCTGCGCAGTGGAACTTCTCTCCTGTGTGAACTCTCATATGTCGCATTAAAGCACTTTTGCAATTATATGAACGATTACATTCTGAACACTGGAACTTCTCTCCTGTGTGAGTCTTCATATGTTGTACTAAATAATCTCTCCGAGTAAATGAACGATTACATTCTGAACACTGGAACTTCTCTCCTGTGTGAGTCTTCATATGTTGTACTAAATAATCTCTCCGAGTATATGAACTATTACATTCTGAACACTGGAACGTCTCTCCTGTGTGAACTCTCATATGTCGCACTAATTCAGATTTCCGAGTATATGAACTATTACATTCTGAACACTGGAACATCTCCCCTGTGTGAGTCCTCATATGTTGTACTAATTCAGATTTCCAATTATATGAACTGTTACATTCAGAACACTGGAACTTCTCTCTTGTGTGAGTCTTCATATGGTGTACTAAATAATCTCTCCGAGTAAATGAACGATTACATTCTGAACACTGGAGCCTCTCTCTTGTGTTATAGGGTGTCTCTGATGGGTGCTCTACCACATGCTTTATAAGACAATCTCTTTTAAAATCTTCATGGCACTGTGAACCCTGAAGGGGATCATCAATGTCACCTTCCATACTCATTTTTTCTTTTACCAAAATGTCTAGGACTTGTGGTCTCTTACATGGTGGCCATCTTGGTGTATTTGGCCTCACTGAACCCCTTAATTAAGTTTTTAAAATGTACTCTGAGGAAAAAGCTTTCCTATGATAATTTACACACTATCCAGTCTTAAATATTCTGCTCCAGCACACACATGAATATGAAAACCAACGGCTAACCCATGAGAGTGTGGAATATGGCCGTAAAACAACGTTGATGGTGACAGTGGAATCTTCTCCTTACATTAAATAATGAAATAAATGTTTTAAATAAAAATGTTCATCTGAGTTAACTGGGAAGTAAGGCTGACAGATAAACAGATATAAATAAGACAGTTGGACAAACTGTGAGGAAGTATTATTCGATGACTGTCTTTTACAGTTGTATCTCATAACATCACTTAAAGTTCATTCGTCTTTACTTCCCTGCCATAAAATCTTGATTAAGGTATCTTGGAGGAGCAAAATAGCATAACAATGTTCACTTTTCTGGATACTGATGGTGATATTTGGTACTAGAGACATGAAGGAGACTGTAGAATATGTGACTTGATACTTTCACTCTTGTGCTGACACGTAGGCATAGGTTGTCAACAGCGTTCAGAAGATGTGAGTTGCACCAGCTAAGAGAAATATTCTCTTCAAAACCTGAAAGTGGGAAAAATTATAAACAAAATATATAAGACCTGACTCAGACAATGAATCATCTATGTCTTGATCACTTGGATCTCTACTTAAACTGTCTGTTGAACCTTGTAATATTTTATTTATCTTCTCTGTTTTCTACAAGGAAGAATAATTAGGTTTCTACGGAGGATGTTAGCAAGACACCAGTGAGAATTTTTTCATGAATGAGGGCAGAGTCTCTGATACAGCTGTAATGTAAACAGTCTGCTCCACCACTGTTAAATTCATATTTCAATAACAGTACGTATCTTTATATTCACAAGAAAGTATGGAGCACATACTTGCACCTACGTACATGCTGTTTCATAACTTAAGTACAGTACATTCAAAATTGTTTTAGTAGATATTAAGGAAACAAAGCACGAAGCCAATTACAGTATTGTAAAAGAAAAGAAAAAACTGTGTGGGTTCTCTGTGGTAACCACAAGGGGGCAGCGGCCCCACAACAATAATAACAGTTTCAGTCTGTTTGAATCCCCAGCCTATGTTCAGCTTTGCCTCTCTTTTGTGGACTGTATGTATTCTTATTCAAGATGAGTGGAAAGAGGCCATCAAGTGCAAGTGCTAGCAGTGGTGGTAAGAGACCATGAATGGGTATTACCTTGGAAACAAAATTAGATGTGTTGAGGAGATTGGATCAAGGCGAGAAGCTGAGTTACATTGCCAAAACATTGGGCCTTGCTACCTCCAATGTCGGAACAATCCGTGATAACAAAGACAAAATTTGGGCTAGTGCTAAAGTTGCTACTCCATTATCAGCCTGTACTCTATATTTTCATTGTAGTAATGTCATGATAAAAATGGAACACTTACTCAGTGTATGGATAGAGGACCAGACCAGGCAAAATGTACCCATTAACTCCATGATGATTCAGGAAAAGGCTAAGAGTCTGCATGCAGAATTAATTCAGGAAGAAGGTGCTAGTTCTGATGAAAAACAACTTAATGCCAGCAAAGGGTTTGAACATTTTAAGAAACACTCAAACCTACACAACAATAAGATGGTAGATGATGTAGCCAGTGCTGATACTGAAGCTGCTTCTAATTATCCAGCTGAACTAAAGGCAATTATTGAGGGTGTTGGATACACACCACAAGTGTATAACATTGATGAAACAGGCTTCTTTTGGAAGCATTCACCTGCCAGGACATATATTTCAAATGAAGAGAAGACACCTCCTGGTTTAAAGGCTTCCAAGGATTGTGTAACACTTCTGTTAGGGGGTAATGTAGCAAGAGATTTTAAGATAAAGTCCATGCTTGTGTACCACTCAGAAAATCCAAGGGCTTTCAAGGGCTGTGCCATTTCTAGGTTACCAGTGATATGGCATGGATGACTGGTAACCTCTTCCAAGATTGGTTTACTAACTGGTTCTGTCATGCAGTAGAAAGATACAGTTACCCGAAAATTTTCCAATAAGGCCTCGTTTCATCAAGATAATGCTCCCAGCCGGCCAATTAACCCTAATGACTTTTCAGTAATATCAGGGTAGTACAGTATACTTGCTCAATAATACAACTTCCTTGCCACAGCCAATGGATCAAGGTGTGATTGCCAGCTTTAAGGACTTTTAGACAACTTGTAGCTACAAATGATAGCGAGGATCAGTAGTCAGTCCGATATTTCTAGAAGAAGTTTAACATCACGAATGCTGTGGAAAAAATTGCCGAGTTCTACGATGAGGTGAAAACTACAACAATAAATGGTGTGTAGAAGAACATTTGACCAGACTGTGTCCACAATTTCCAGGGTTATCCCCAGGTTCAGACCTTGGATCAGGTACAGCAGGAAATTGTAACTCTGATAAATGGTACAGGGTTCTGTGCCATCTTTAAGGTAGCCTTTGTGAACTCATGTTTAGGAATGGTGATCCTCACTAAATGACCTGTGAGTTTATTAAGTCTTTCCACATTTGTGATGATTAACTCGTCTACAAAGTCGACCACATTTCTCAGCATCTGACTCTCCCTCCTTCCTCTCCAGGTTCTTTATAATGAGGTTGTCCCTGCATTTGTTTATCTCTACTTGGTCTCTCATTTCATCTTAAAAATTTTGTATTACATTAGTCCTGTCACATTATCAGTGAGATCCACTGAGGGTGTCCATTTGGCCATGATTTCTTGTAAGTTCTTTCATCTTTCAATAATTGTTCTGTTATTTGTTGCTGGAGTTAAAGCATCCAAACAAAGTTAATAAATAAATAGAAAAAATTATTTAAGCACCTGCGGTTCTTGCAATGAGCCGCATGTGCTTACTAAGTAATTTGTCATCTATTTATTTATTTACTTTGTTTGGACGCTTTAACTATCTTGTGCGATTACTTTCTAAAGGTGGCAGTGTTGACCGACACTTGGCTAATAACAGTTACAAGACTTGCTGTCTTTCTAGGGAGACGGACAGTTTTCTTTGAATGATGATTTTTTGTACATCTTCTGAGTAAACACACTTTTAGCCATAAATGTAGTGACTTCTCTTCCAACAGTGGTAAAGGTGGCGAGCGTATATAGCTGGACAATTGGAGGGGGTGCCTGGTGGTGGTGGGGAGGGTGGGTGGCAGGTGTGAGGTAACTCCCTTGTCCTCCCATCTATGTCTACAGTGCGCCGAGTCAGTTTAATGGTGCCAGTTATTTCGAGTTCACAAAGCTTGCTCATGGAAAAATAAGATTTAGAGCTATGATAATAAATACAACTAAAGTATTGTACCACTTTGAGCATTATTGTAATACAGACACTCCCTGGGTTACAGAACACTCGGTTTACAGAAATTCGAGGATACAGAATGCCTCCCATAAGTCCCATTATAAAATTTTTCGGGCTGCACAAGTTTGTTATTATTGAAGGTAACTAGTACGGAGTAACAACACTATTTGTGGAGGACTATGAGTAAGGCGGCTGAGCTCATACCCTTGTGAGACACCATCTGTGATTCAGTACTGGGTACAGTACATATTTACCTAATGGAAGGGTCATTTTCGGTTTACAGAAAATTCGGCTTACGTACAGGGTCCAGGAATGGAACCTTTCCGTAAACTGGGGAGTGTCTGTACACTAAAAATTTTTAACCTGATATTCTGGTAGCACCTCAGAAACCAGTGATGCATTAGTTACCCCATCAGTAGTTTTCCCTCATTCACTATTCTTGTGTTTCTTTTATATAATACTGTGAGTTGATCTTGGTGTTCCGTCTATGGTTTGGGTAACACATGGTCACCACTAATGGATATCTCTGGTTTAATGCTCTATTTTCTACTCTTTTCCCATCACTCTGGAGGCCTGAGGCAACTGTTATTTAACTGTTAGGCATTTATTCAAACAAATTTTGCTGATATTTTCCCTCAATTTCTGATGTAATGCATCACTGATGAGGGTAGTCTCTTTGCCTAGGTAACATTGGTGATGAGTTCACTGTTTGAGTCATTAAGTTCTTAACTATAACAATCAACAGCAATGAACTTGGCAGAAAATTTCCAGCATTGCACATTTGTAGGGCTATCTCATTGATTTCCCCATTCTATGTGTACAGTAATATTCCCATTAGCCGGAAATATTGGTGCAGAGTTCTTCCGGGGATGAGAGATTTCCGGGTAACCAGACAACTTTCTCAAACCCGGAAAATTCCTTATCCCAGGAACTTTTTGTGGTTACTGGGAAAAGTTTCCAAGAGTCTAAACTACACATCTTGCACAGACAAACATTAGCCCACATCCCCAGAATGAGTCTGAGTGCTGGGGAAAATTTTCCATGAGTTTAAGCTACCAAAGTTTGTAAAAGAAGTTCTAATTAAGTTAGAAACTCAATTTCTTTACTAGAAGGTCCTTTTGTGATCGACAAATGCTCTGGCCACCCCAAGGCCCTCAAGGTTGCCAACAAAAACAGCGAGGTGATCTTTCTACCCATGAACACAGCATCATTGCTCCAACCACTCAACCGGGGAGTCATCACCATCTTCAAGGCCAAGTACATGACCCACACCTTAGCAGGATATGGCAATCCTTGGACGAGGACACACGGGATGGTGCCGAGTCAGTGCGGGAAATGTTGAAGTTCTCCATCGCAGACTGCATCTCCATCAAGCAGTGCCATGATGACCTGGCAGCCCTCTGTGTTAACTCCTGCTGGAAGGCCTTGTGGCCAGAGATGGTGAACGACTTCACTGGCTCTCCCACAGTGGACCAGGATGTGCAGCACAACATCCAGCTTGCCTGTCAAATGGGAGGTGAGGGGTTCAATGACCTTCAGAAGGAAGAGGTACAAGAGGAGCTCCTGGATCATGCTGGGGAAGAGCTGACTGAGGAAAAGCTGGCCAAGCTTGTTGAGAAGCAGCATCGCGAGGACGAGGAGGAAGAAGGTGAAGTGGAAGAGGTGCCTACTTTAACCGTCACAAGCCTCAACAGGTGCTTGCTGGCTAGTAAAGCACTTGTGGACATGATACTTGACACCGATCCTTCTATCCAGAGAACAGTCAACTTCAAGAGGGGGATGGAGAATCTCCTGCTTCTTTACAAGGAAATAATGAAGGAACTCAAGTGCAAGGTTGCCCACCCTCATGTTCTTCTTGCTTTCATCCACTCCATGTCCTACACCTTCTACATCTACAAGAGCCTCAGCCTCCTATTCGTGCTCCTCCTCCTGACTCTGATTCCGACATGGACGACTCTCCTCCTGCCGCCCCCAGCTCTGACCTCCCCCCGCTCTCCTCTTCCACGGTAGATGAGGAGCACTTGTAACTCCCCTGCCCTCATCTTCATCACCATCATCAATCATCATATTCACCATTTTCATCATGATATTCATCAGTGAGGAATGAGCTCTACACAAACAGCCAGCATGGAATGGTGAGTGTTACTCTATTTTTTATGTACTTAAAATAAAGTAAAAAAAAAAAAAAATATATATATATATGAAAAAAGTTACATCGCATATGAAAAATGTACCTCTCCTCACCCCCTGGTCAGCAAAGGATATCCGCGGCCATTTTGAGACCCAAACCGCCACGAATTTTAAGGGCATGTTGTACTACTATACTGTATATACTGTACAGGGGTCCTTGTTATAAGTGGTTAATAGGGACCAGAAAAAAGCCACTGATAATGAAACCACTTATAAAGGGGAATAAATTCCCAAAAGAATTAATAGGAATAGGGTCTTATAGGGACCATCACATTGTTTATCACACAGTTCATTGAGGACAGGCTTCTACACCTGTTCTTCGTCACTGCCAGTAAGGTCTACCCCCCACAGTCGGAGAAACAGCAGCCAGTGCGACCTGTGGATGACGAGGAGGAGGACCCTGTTAATCCCAACTTCATGTTTTCTGAGTCTAAGGTATGCACACTGGTGGATAGGCTGGGGTTAGGTTAAATTAGGTCAGATTAGGTTAGGTTGTTAGGTCAGATTAGGTTATATTATGCTAGGTTAGGTTAAGTTAGGGTTAATTTATTGTAGTGCACAGTTCTTTCTTTGGGTATTAGAAATGTGTAAAAAACCGTAGAAAATCACCAAACACCAACCAAACCTAACCTAATCAGGGGGGATCCAGGGAGGTGGAGCCGCCCCCCCCCTCCTGATTAGGTTAGGTTAGGTTAGATAGAACGGTGCACTAATATAAAAAGACCTAAGTTAGGTTAGGTTATGTTTTGGACTATTCTAAGCTTCACTTCACAAATTCTACTATTTTGTGATTTTCCACCACCCAAAACCCCTGATTCCCACTGGGGGTCTCCCATTATCGATGGATAATGGATAAAGGGGGGGGGGATCTCAAAAAATAGTTACTAGCGGCAGAAATAAAGGTCAGATTCGTTCAAAACACATTAAATACCAACGTAAAAACATAATTTCAAGTTTCAGCAACTTAGAAAAAATACGACAAATTTTTATTTTTATTTATTTTTTTCCGATTGTCTCTTATATTAATAATGAGCGGAAGAAATTACATAAAAGTGTCAAAGAATTGTTTAAATTACCGATTCTAAAACTTAAAATCCCAAAAATCGCTGGATGACCGAAACGATAATTATTAATAGGCACAACTTTAATAAAAAATGATGCTATTATTTACATTTAACCATACAGTATTGTTGGGTCTGCATCAAAGAAAAAAGGTACACTGTATACTCCCAAGGTCTATGTGTAGCAAAGCACAAAGCAGGGAACTCCCAATTCAGGGATAGGGCACACAATTGTAGTTTTCTCTCATTTATTTACTCTAGAAATCACCTGAGAAGGAAAAGGCTGGGACCTGGATCAGACATAACTAGTTATAATACATTATATTTACAAAAAAGCATCAACTGTTGTCATATTCACATATTGGTACCACACAGTAGTAGGAATTGAACAATACATAATAAACCCAACCCACCAGCATAACACAGGGAGGTGGGTCCGACTAATTACCCAAATGTAGCTGCAATGAAGTCAAATAATGGTCCGACATGAATAAATAGGACTGCCAATCACTTCTCGACTAGTATTTGGTGTCACAAAGTAAAAAAAAATTGGAAAACTTAATTTAATCTGAGTTAATAGATCAAGTGCATGTACCTAACCTAACCTAACGCAACTCAGATTAAATTAAGTTTACCAATTTTTTGTGACTTCGTGACACCAAATACTAGTCGAGGTTAGGTTAGGTTAGGTTAGGTACATGCACTTGATCTATTAACTCAGATTAAATTAAGTTTACCAATTTTTTGTGACTTTGTGACACCAGATACTAGTCGAGAAGTGATTGGCAGTCCTATTTATTCATGTCGGACCATTATTTGACTTCATTGCGGCTACATTAGGATAATTAGTCAGACCGGAGGGGGGTGGTGGCTGTTGGTGTCGACTCACTCCAGGGTGAATATTTGTAGACCAACGCTAGAATTAGCCTTATTCTGGCTTACAAACTACCTCCACGAGATCATCACATTCTTCATATAACATTTATTCTGCTCAATCTATCAAACACACCCTAACAGAGCAAGAAATACATGGGACACACCTGTTACTGGCCCCCCGACGGGTCTTGTTATGTACACAAGGCCATGGCGTCTCTCCACCCCGGGCTGGGATTCATTCACTCCGGCACAAATTCCATTTCAAACCCACAAAATATATTTATGTTTTCCTCCTCGGGGCTTACAAAAATACGTATCCATATTAATAATATTCTAAATCACAAAATAGTTGTCTCTGGAGTTCCTCATACCACAGATGTACATCGTATACTGTACCCACTAGAGTTGAACAAGGCCTCTACTCTTAAAACACAATTGTTAACTTACCATGAGGTCTTATATATCGTAGGTAGGCGTGGCTTAATAGTTGACCTCCATAGTTGACCTCCATCATGTAAGGCGGCGCTGGTTGACCTAGAGGATGCAACTAACCTTCCTGCGTTTGAGGACAGACGGTTCGACACAGCACTGACCCACATTGTGTTCACAGAAGAGGGTATTAGAAATAAACTGTCCAGGCTAAAGGTCCATAAGAGTCCTGGACCTGACATGGTGCATCCTAGAGTGCTAAGAGAGCTGTGCAACGAGCTTGCAGAGCCCCTGAAGATTCTGTTTTGTAAATGCCTGGATGAACAAATGGTCCCCAGTGAATGGAAAGTGGCTTATGTGAGTCCTATCTTCAAGAAGGGCGATAGTCACTCCACGAACAACTATAGACCGGTGAGCCTGACCAGCATAATATGTAAAGTACTTGAGAGTATTATCAGAGATGCCGCGATGGAACATCTACTACGAAACAACCTTGTAAAAGATTGCCAACACGGTTTTATGCCGGGGCGCTCTTGCTTAACACAATTGCTCAAGGTATTGGATATTTGGACCCATATTTGGTAATATCGACAATATTTACCTAGATTTTGCCAAGGCTTTCGACAGTGTACCCCACGAAAGGCTGAAAATCAAACTGGAAGGGTACGGAATTCGGGGAAATGTCCTAGCGTGGATAGAAGACTTTCTACATGACCGCAAGCAGTGTGTGGTGATTAATGGCACGAAATCGTCATCTGTACCTGTAACAAGTGGGGTACCGCAGGGTAGTGTATTGGGCCCGCTGTTGTTTGTTTGTTTCATAAATGACATGCCTGACGTTGTACACTCCTCCATACAAATGTTTGCCGATGATGGCAAGTTATTTCGGGAAATTAAGAACCAAGCGGACTGTGAAGAGCTGCAGAAGGACCTCTGTGGGCTCCAGGAATGGTCGAAGAAATGGCTGCTGAGATTCAATGTCACGAAGTGTAAGAGGATGCACCTGGGGCGTACCAACGGTAAGGAGGCGTATCATATGTCCCAACGGGATGAAGAAAATGCACTAGTTGAGACTGTGTGTGAGAAGGACCTAGGTGTGTATGTTGACAATGAGCTGAAGTTCTCGGGCCATTGTGAGAAGAAGGTAAATCAGGCAAATAAATTATTGGGTCTTATAAGAAGGTCGTTCAGATATCTAGACGGTCCGTCCCTCGTGACGATCTTCAGGAGTGAAGTGCTTCCCCATCTGGAGTACTGTCACCCCATCTGGTCCCCGAGATATGCTAGGGACTGTCAGTTGGTTGAAAATGTTCAAAGGAGGGCCACCAAACTGGTGCCTGCACTTCGGCACCTCAGCTACCCTGAGAGATTGGAGCGCCTGAACTTGCCTAGCTTATACTACAGACGGGCAAGCTCGCCCCACAAGGGGTCACAGCTCAAGATTGAAAGAAGCCACAAGTCAGAAACCGTGAGGGCAAAACTTTTTCAGGTGAGGGTTGTAAACTCTTGGAACAATCTACCAGAGAGTGTTGTGACGGCACCGAGTGTGGCTCTTTCAAGAGAAGACTTGACCTATATACTCGTACACTTCACCTTAGCGAACAACAGGATATTCATCCCCAGAATAATTACATAGACAAGTAGTGATCACATCTTACCTGGGGATATTTTCTTCTCTGTCTTTCAAGTCTTAAAGTTAATGACGTTGTCTTGCCACAGCTCGGCACCTCTCAAGGCCTGTCGCTGTTGGTAGTGTTACGTGCTGCCAGAGGCCCGGAGAAGACCTCACTCTGTTGGCTTATACGACGTCCTGTAGTGTCGTTAGTAGGAAAATCACTGTCATTTTTTATTCTTCTTGCTTGTTAGATCATTTTATCGTTGTACCTCACAGACAAATAACGATTTCTGTCAATACCAAAGACTGAAACTTTACGTTCATTGAGGAAACTGATGACATAACTCTGTATTATCATAATTCATATTTACTTCGTGTATAAAAGTTTCACTGTATACATGTACAGTAACTATGTATGTAATACCTGTACACTATCCAGGAGTTGAGGCCAGGTAGTGTTGTTGTAGCTCAGCCGGTAGTACATTAACCCCGGAAGCAAATGATCACGGGTTTGATTCCCGCCCGAGAGGAGGGATAGGTTTCTCCCATGCAAATTAACGTTTGTGTCCTCAGCCGTAGAGGCAAGCCGCGAGTGGTCCAGCATCGTCAGAATTTTTTTTTTTTTTTTACGGGCATTAGTCCACCCGGGCACAGGTCATTTTATGACCCACAACAAGGCCTGGTGGGCGAAAATATAATGAAATAATAATAATAATAATAAAAATAAAATTAATAAAACTTAATATAAATAATATAATAGTAATAATAAAGAACCATAAATAAAAAAAAATAAAAAATATATAAATAGTGAGAAATTATATATATACAGTATGTTGTGTTGTCAAAGTAAGAGAAATAATTGAGACCCTGCAATTGTGTGTAAATGAGGCAGAAAGTCAGATCAGCAACCTGGGACTTGGTCACTATTTTTGTGGTGTGTGGGGTAACCCACTTACCTGCTGAATGCTGAGGCCAACACCTACCTGGGTCTACCTCTGTTGTGGCGGGGAAAACTAGTATTTTACATGTGGTACCAATTTCTAACCTTAATATTCCGTAAGCGTAAGAATCTTTTTCCATACACTTTAATAAAGTTTAACAACATAAAGGGCACACATAGCTCTGATAACGTCCAAAAGGTCATTCATTAAACATTACCCATTGTGCATGTCAGTCAAAGTTATCTGGTCGGTGAGTTTAATACTATACGTCACCTTGGTGTAGACACTTAGGGGAAAACTGAGTAGTGATATTTGGTATACGAAGGGGCAGGGAGAGGGACCAAACATACCTGGCCTATCTACCCGAGTTATCAAGGCTGTGTATACGTTAACCATTCCCCACACCAACTCCGAGTTATCAAGGCTGTGTATACGTTAACCATACCCCACACCAACTCCGAGTTATCAAGGCTGTGTATACGTTAACCATACCCCACACCAACTCCGAGTTATCAAGGCTGTGTATACGTTAACCATACCCCACACCAACTCCGAGTTATCAAGGCTGTGTATACGTTAACCATACCCCACACCAACTCCGAGTTATCAAGGCTGTGTATACGTTAACCATAATACATAAAACACTTGAGATCCTTCGCTCTTGGTTTATTCTTACATAATTAAAATATACATTAATTATACACAGTGACACGTGACCATGCATAATATCTCACCCAACTGGTTACTTTAAATGTCCTAAGACTGTTTTTTGCTATATTTATCCTGGCCTTTATATACAGAACGATGTAATATACAACATTAATTAGTTTATAATTTTAATAGTTATTCATAATCTGTATTGTATACGTTATGTATTTTTCTACGCTTTGAGGACATTGCGAAGAGCCGGCTGTTTTCTGCATGTTGACTAAGACGGTGGAAGTCTTTATCGTAATCTCTCAAGATTATTTTGTGGTAATGTCTAACCACATAGCCACGAGAGAGACCACGTAATTGTTTTGTTTTTTATAGTCACCTGTTTCTGTACCTGGTGTGGTGAGGGGCTACACCACACGAGAATAACCGAGTATAATGTTGGGAGGCTGGTCTAAGGGAACTTCCCCGGCCTGGACCTGCGGATAGCAAGTTGGGTGGGTCCTCACCAGCTCCGCCGCCGGCCATCGTCCACGTAGCGGTGAAGTAAGTACCTGCACTACTTTCCGCCGCGCTCGCTCGAGGCTCGACAGGTTTAAGGTGGTCCAAATAGATTGGACCAATGAAAACGTGGGTTCTATGGGTACAAGCCAATTAGAACTGGTGCACTAATGGTACGACAACGAGCCGAGTTTGGTTCAATGAACTGCAAGATGTCGTCAGCGTCGTGTTCACCAAATTGCGTTGTAAAATTTACGTAAAATTTTTGTGCGTGATTCAACTTCCTATCTGGGCCACCTTCGTTACGCCTCGCTCTTTCCTCCCACAGTAACTACTGGTGTAACATTCTCCAAATTTCTTATATTTTAAAATTTTAAATAACTAGAAAGTCCATAAAACATTTTTTTTACGAGTTTGCTTTTCTGTGCCTTTGTTACTGGTGGTATGTGGGCGACTTAAATTATACAGCTGGTTGTCCTTTCATCTTCATAAATCCACATGTAGGACTTTGCTGATGCAAGACGCTGTTGAATGATGTTAAAGACCTGTTGGTGATGATCCTCAACCCGTCTCTCACGCCCGACACACTACAGACAGGACGGAAGACTGTAAACACGTCACCTCTGCTTGAGACTAGGAAGCAGTGTTCAGCCCTGGAGTAACTTAACACCTGGAGTCTTACGGGCGTCACCCGTAACCCAACTCAGTTAATTACAATATTTCACAGCCATGTCAATATTGTTGTTATTCTTTATATTGTATGAGCTTTTCTGGCTAAATAGTTTCAATTTCAACCTGATGACCAAATAGTTGTTCAGTAGCACACTGTATAGTTTCACAAGCGGCAGATCCACTGATGAAGGTTCCTACCGCGTGAACCTGAGGTGTTGGGTTCGCGGTGCATTAACGGTGACTTGCGTAGACCTCAGGAAGGTAGTCCAGTACAATACTCAATATGGTCCGACAGTGACGTGTTCTCAGCAACTATTAAACATAGCCCAGACCAAGACACTGTAGTACTACAGTGTAGTAGTCTTCTTCACGTTCAATATTCGTTTGATATTATATTTTCAGAGGTTGATATATTCTTAACAAATAGATCTT